GGCGGGCCGGCGCCTGCGGGGCTGTCATTCGCGGCGCGGGTCGCCGCCCTCAGCTGCGCCCAGCGGTTTCGGCTCCTCCCTCTCCCGGGGCCTTAGTCCCACCATGGTGCTGGAGTCGGTGGTCGCGGACCTCCTGAACCGCTTCCTGGGGGACTATGTGGAGAACCTGAACAAGTCCCAGCTGAAGCTGGGGATCTGGGGCGGTAAGCGAGAGGGCGCGGCCGGCGGGCTGCCCGCGCTGGCGGAGGGGCCCACGCCACGGGCTCTTCCCGCCCGGCTCCCTCCGCCTCCCGAGACTCCGCCTCCGGGGAGGGGGCCCTCGGCTGAGCCCCCTCCCCGGGCGGCAGGTGCGGGGTGCCGAGAGGCCTGTGCCCGCTTCCGCTGCCACGGGATCCCGGGTACTCGCCCGGGGTGGGGAGATGCCGCAGGGTCGCGCTCGCGCTGCCCGAATTCCCACCTTTCGCGTCCCGGAGGCGGACTCCCTGCTCTGTCCCTCCCTGCCCTCCTTGGAGGGTCCTCTCGCTGCCCTCAGTCTGGCCCCGTTGGCTTCACAGCATTTAAAAAAGCTTTCTCTTCCTGCACCGCGTGCGGGGTAGGGGTGTGGGGGTGGTGGTGGCTGCGTGGTCACACACGCCTAATAAAGTGGCACCAAGGAAGAAGAAAAAGGAAATTGGGTTTCGCAGTTACTTTCTCTTGGCATTTTATGGCGAACAGGAACTGGCTTCCTTCTCTCTAGAATTGCAGGATGTTTGAAGGGATCTATTGGCCCTGGGAGATCATTACTAAAGGCCTGTTTAGTATGGCTTCTTACAATACTTTCACCTTTTGAGAAAACGATTTCTTAATATTTACTTCACCTCAGTAAGAAGATGACTTTCAGTTTTGTTTTGGATGATAGAAAAAAATAATTCAAGCCAGGACAGGCATCATCATTAATTAGGTGCATGCCCAAAACACAAACGTTTCTGTTCTCAACATTGATTGTGTAGAAGTAGACAGCAAGTAGTATGCTTGCACACAGTTCCGAAAGATTGATTATTTGCACTGATTATGCGTATTAAGCTTTGGGGATCTTGGGGATACCGTTTCACTCTACAAAAGACTTCTGGGAATTCTGTCAGCTTTGGAAAGAAATCCAAAGAACTACTCAAATGGATGGAACTGCTTTTAATTTAGTCAACAGTTATGGACCTGTCCAATAGCGCTGTCCGATGGGGTAGCCACCAGCCACTGCGGCTCAATTAGGCACTCGAAATGTAGTTAGTGCGAATTGAGACTTGCTGTTGAGTCTAAAATAACGTGGAGTTTGGAAAATAGTGGGAGAAAGAGTGTAATATCTCAGTCTTCTATGTTGATTATATCTTGAAATAATACTTGATTATATTGGGTTAAGTACAGTATATTATTAAAATTCATTCCCTCGTTTCTTTTTCCTTTTTTAAAAAAACTTGGTTCCTGAAATTTATAATTACATATGTGAACCATATATTTATATTGAGCAATGTTGTTACAGAACTAAGAGTACTGCCCTGGTTGGGGAGGAGCCTTTTTGAATAGGTTGCTGATCATTTGATTGGTTCTGTGTGTTTTGCCCAGCACCACATCCTTTGTTTACATGCCCTCCCCCAACGCTAATATAATGCAAGAGAAAGAGAAGTAAAGGAGGAGACATTTAAGGAATGAAAAATCCAGTACCTTCTGCAGGGGTCAACCCTTTCTTCAGAATACTGTTGAATACAAATTATTCCTTCTAGTCTGTAAACATTATTATTTTTTAAGATTTTTATTTATTTGAGATAGAGAGCACAAGCAGGGTGAGGGGCAGAGGGAGAAGCAGGCTGTGCGCTGAGCAAGGAGCCCCATGCGTGGCTAGATCCTGGGAATCCAGGATCCTGACCTGATTCAAAGGCAGACACTTAACCGACTGAGCCACCCAGGCGCCCCTCTAGTCTGTAAACATTGTTTGAAATCTGGAAAAGCACTGGGCTAGGATTTAGGAAACGTGGGTTCTAGGTTGTTGTGTTGGACAAACCACTAACCTTCCTCCTTGTTAGTTTCATCTTGACTTAAACTTTAAAAGAAAAAAAGTCATACCAGATAATATAATATTCCTACACAGTCACTACTCAGAATCACCTACCAAGTTAAAACGCTGTGCCCTATTTGCGTCAGATTTTTTTTAAAAGGAAGTTTATGGGTATATTCAAAGATTTCTTCTCTACCAAATCTTACTTTCCTTTTTCTTTAAAATTGGGAGTTGGAATAGGTACCATCTGAAGGTCCTTCCAGTGCCAGTACTCTGTGATTTTAGTTGTACATGTTTTTACTATGAAATTGTGAAGTATGCTGCCTGGGGATTTTGAACTTTTTCACATCTGAAATTAAAATGCCACAATATTATGTCATTTATTCCTCTCTTTTTTGGTGGACTGTAGGAAAAGAAACTTTATTTTCTTTCATCTCATTTTCTTTTTTTTAGAATGAGGTATGCTGCCGATGGCAAACATCAATTTTATAATAGGCCTTGAAAAATAAACTCCTTTCTTTCAGGAACTGTATCCATTAGAAGTCTAATCTGGGATTCCCTCAGCTTTATCAGCCTACGTCTCTGCTTCTATGAAGTTTTGCCACCTTTTATTTTTGTGGTTGTTATAAAGGAAGGTTCTATAGATATTATTCAATATATTTTCTTTATGACACTGATTCTCCCATTAAAAAAGAAAGGCAAGATATGTGAACTATTTTTCTTCTCTGAAAATATTCCTGAAGAAATGTATCTTTAACCTTTTGTGGTAAACAAGTGGGTATATTAATGAAATAGCTGATATTTATGACATCCATGATATTGACAGATTTTATAAAGAATTGAAAATTTTATATATTCTTATTTGAAAATTATTTGTTTTAGTAAATAGAGTTTGGCTGTTTCCATTTTTTTTGTTGTTAAATTTTCACATCCTGGGATGCCTGGGTAGTTCAGCTGGTTAAGCGTCTGCCTTGGGCTCAGGTCATGATCCCGGGACACAACAGGCTCCTTGCTCAGCGGGGAGCCTGCTTCTCTCTGTCTGCCTGCCACTTCCCCTGCTGTGCACTCTCTCTCTCTCTCTCTCTGACAAATAAATAAAATCTTTAAAAAATTTTTTTTCACATCCTGAGAAAAGAATTCAACCTGTAAAAATGTCACAGGGCTGATCTTACTATTTTTTAGAAACAAATGGAAAACTAAATTGATATTTCTTAACTGGAATATTTGGCTAGGCTAAAGCAGTGATTTTCAACTGAAAATTACTTTGCCCCAAAGGAGTATTTGACAATGTCAGAGACATTTTTGGTTGTCGCACTGAATAGTAGAGGTGTGCTACTGGGATCTAATGGGTAGACCCTAGGCATACTGCTACATTCTGCAATGCACAGACAGCTCCCCACAACAAAGAATTATCCAGCTGAAAATGTTTGTTGAGAAACTCTATTCTAAGGAGAATATTGAGATTGTCTTCTGCATTTTTAAGAGAACTTCTGGGTGCTGAACACATTATAGTAAGAGGTGAAAAAGGACTTAAAGGATGTATATGCCTCATGAAATTTATAATTTAAGAGAGAAACATGTCTTAACTGATTGAAAGGTATCATGTTGGTAAAAATGGAAAATGATATCAGGAAGTAGTAGCATGTAAAAGAAATAACAAAGTTCAATATTCTAATATATCTTTAGGCCCAGTTAATTATCAAAGCAATGCTTAAAAACTTAAATTGAAAATACCTTACCACACTTTTAAAGGCATCATAAATTAAAAATCCACCCCTTTTCCAGAAATAAAACTGGAAGTTGGTGGTTTGATAACCATTTCGCTAGGAAAGAATAAGAAATCCTCACTATTATGAGATCCCTGAAATGTTCCTGAAAGGGAGAAAGTTCGTTGGTAATCGGGCAGCTTTCCACCTTTCTTTGCCAAGACTTCCTGTTTCAATAGGGAAATGGAAAGAGTAATAGTCAATTGTTTCCTCTCCTGATGTCTCCCACGACAGTCTCTGTGAACTATTAAAGGGAGTCTGTGGGAGGTGCCTCCCTGGCTCAGTTGGAGGAGGGAGCCGTGGAGGAGCCTGTGTTACTCTTGATCTTGAGGTTGAGATTTCAAGGTCCACGTGAGGTGTAGGGATTACTTAAATAAAACTTAAAAGAAAAAGGAGTCTGCGTTAACTAAATTAGTTAATTTGGGTTGAATGGAAAGGTTCAATTGAAATGAATTGCTGCAATAGTTTCTTCAGTATTCTTTACTAAAGCAATGGTTATTAAAATAATTTGATTTATTCTTTAAAAAACTTCAGTCATTTACTTTAGCTCACTTTTTTAGAGAATGAGTATGTCTCAGTATTTTGATATACTTTCAAATAAATAATGAGTCTGTGATACATAAAGGACACAAAACAATATATAGCACTGTATATTCTTTTTTTATTTTACAATATGCAAAACTAGTTTCATGGAGTAGGGTATGGCATTTTTGTTTGTTGGGCTTTTTTTTTTGGTTTGGTTTGGTTTTTAAACACAGTTTTGAATTAATCTCTGTTTTATGTTAAGAACATTGACCAGGAGTCAGGAGACATAGGTTTTATTAGCTCCTCTACACATTAATTGTATGATCTTAGATAAGCCACCTGATCTCTTTAGGCTTCATTTTTTTTTCATATGTAAAGTGAGAGGGAAGTAGGTTTAAAGATCTTTATGGTTCTGAATAGTTATAACTTAAGAATTTCTGTCTTTTGTTTTTGGAAAAACATAGATTTTTGAAAAGTACTAAGGTGGTCATTTTGCAATGCCATCCCCCGCTTCTGTGGTTTCCACTGTGGCACTATTCTTTCTTCTGATAATCCTCCTAACATAAACCTTGACTCTATCTTTACTTACTGGCTTTGTCCTTGTTAGTTTTACAGATTTTAGTTTCCCTTTTGGTTTTGGATTTTTTTCACACTCTTAAAATGCAAAGACCAAAAGTGGATCCACCAACTACACAGGCCTCTCAATGTATGGCATTTTTTTTCTCCACAAGGGAGATAGAATTATCTTCAGAAGTAAAACTGCTCTGCTCTTTGGGAGCCATTATGATGTTCTGAGCAAAACACTGGGCATCAGTAAATTTGAGCCCTGGCTCTACCACTTACTAGATTGACATAGTGTCCTTAGGCCAGTCATTTAGCCTCCCTGTGCCTGAGTTTCTTTTGCTTGATGTCTGTGTCCTGTCTCCTTCATTAGAAGGCTGCTGAGGATCAAGAAAGGTTATAGCTCAGAAAGTATTTTCTAAAATAGAATGTTTTTATCTTCTTATTGTAGTCGTCCTACCCCAGTATAATATGTATTCTAAATCAGTTATGTCAGTGTTTACTGAGCACCTACTATGAGGAGAATCAGTAAGGAGTTTATAATCAGGTTGGGGATTTATATAGTTAAGTACCATGAGAAAGGTATAGCTAAACTTCTGTGAAAGTTCAAATAGATTATTTCTGACTGGAGGTATTTAACATCAGTACTATGTTTCTTTATTTTGTAGGCTATTATGTGTTTTAGAAGCCATTCTTGGATTTAGGCTTGTTCCATATTATGCCAGTACCATTTCATTTGTATTCATAAATGTACTAACTTGGTTTTTTTCTGTAATTTAGAAACCATTTCTTTTTCTATTGTATTTTTTTGAGATGACTCCAACTCTGCTTACTTTGGCGTCATTTGCTAATTTAATGGATTTACCATCATTTTCATCTTGTGGTTCATTAGTAAAGATTATTAGATAAATTTTGATCCAGGATTTACCCTTTAAGGTACTTCTGAAAATACCCTTTAAGATTAACTTTGGGGCGCCTGGGTGGCTCAGTCGGTTGGGTGTCTACAATCGACTCTGGTCATGATCCTGGGGTCCTGGGATGGAGTCCCGCTTCTGGCTCCCTGCTCAGTGGGGATTCTGCTTCTCCCTCTGCCCCTCCCCCTGCTTGTGTGTGCGCTCTCTCTCGAAAAAAAATCAATCAATCTTTAAGATTAACTTTAAAACTTTATGTGTGACTCCCTAGCTATGTATGCTCATCAAAATGTTTCTAGTTTATTACTGAGAATCATAAGGTGAGAATGAGAAACCTCTTCTGAAACAGACTTCACTTACTGCTTACTCTCATCCTTTAGGCCTCTCAGTCCATCATAAAAGGAAATCACTTCATAGAACTTCCTTACTTGTCTATCACCATGGTCTCCATGGAACTTCTCCATGGGATTAGAGATACCAGATTGTGGGATTGGCTTTAGGGCCCTCCTTGCTGGCAGTGTTAAGTTTATCTAGTTTATCTATCTCCAATTATTATTCATTCTTTTTCTTGTTTGTTTTTTTAAGTTTTGACACAAATATTTACCCTTCCTCCGGATTTTCAGGAACTTTCTGTGGCCTCTGTTCTTAGCCCTGTGATCTGGCTATAGCAATAAAGTTATTTGCTTATATATGGAATTATTATGTTATCTTGAACTAGAAACAGGAGATTAAATATTACCTTTTTCCTTAGTATTCAGTTAAATATAAAATGGTTGATATTTAGGAGGGGGTCGGCTTTATTCTTAGTCTTATAAATTATTTTTTACATAAACAGAATTTCTGACATTCTGAGGATATAGACAATTCAGTTCCTGCATATATATCTACAGAAAGGCATGCAGTTTAGTGGAAGAGTACCTGTTAGCACGGTGCCTTACCTAGATAAAGTACTCGGCTACTGGTTGAATGAATGCAATTTTACCCTGGTGTTAATCTGTAATATGCTGCTATTCCTCCCCTTTTCTTTGTATTAGGGCTAGTGGCTCCTCTTTCAGTGCAAATAACTTATAGAATGTGTCATTCTTATTTCATTGTTATATTTACTGTTTGTTAGATAGCATTCACGTTTTTCAGAGAGGAAGTATGCATTTGTTTGCTAGACTCTAAGCAGAAATAAGATTTTTTTTTAACGTGTCTTGTAAGTAAGGTAGATATTAGACGTAGGAGGAATGTATATAAAATATGTTGAGGTCCTATTGACATTAGAATTTACCTTTGTTTTGTTTTCCGTTCTTATTAAAATTTGTATAATTTTAACATAATCATATTTGATTTTTATAAAAGCTAGAAAATACGGAAAAATATTAATTAAAAAAATCCTTAATCCTGTTAGCAGTAATCACTATTATCTCTTTGTCTGACTTTCTAAGTATACTTGTTTAACTCTGTTAGCCCTATTGGTAGTTTTCAGTATTTCACCTTTAAATACCATCTGTTGGTTAAAGAATCAGAGTGCCACTGTGCTAGAAACAGTCCACTTTTTATAAGTGCATTCATATTTTTACACACATTATGTTAGTGTCTTAATTGTTAAAAAATTACTTCATATCTAATGCAGATTATTTATGAGCACTCTTGGTGACACTTGACCCATGAGTGAGGATCACTGGGTCGAGCAATCCAAATTCATGAGCAAGTTTGCAAGTCTCTATATGGGCCTTAGATCTTGTTAAACTAGTTTGGATTGCTTCAAATATGTACTAACATCTGTGCAGTTCACTTCTTTTGGCTTGAATTGAGTCCCCAGTTGTAATTATTTATAATTCATCATCTGATGGAATTAAATCCAGGAATATTTTTCCTTTTTATGTAATTTTTACACATAATACTTGTTAAGGATTTCTTTTCCAATTCCAGAACACATGTCTGTTTTCCACAGCTACTTTTATTATCCCTGCATTTGGTCTGTAATATCATCTTGTCAGTTCTACCTATAAAATAACTTCTTACTCTGACTCTGCCTCTTTGACCCTGAAGTTACTATTTCAGGTTTTAATTTCTCTTTAGTGTATTTTTCTTTTTCTTTTTCTTTCTTGCTTGCTTGCTTTTTTTTTTTTTTTTTTTTTAGAGAGAAAGAGCATGCGTGAGCAGGAAGAGGGGCAGAGGGAGAAGGAGGGAGAATCTTAAGCAGACTCCTGGGCAACATGGGGCGACGCCAGGTGACATGGGCTTGATCTCAGGACCCTGAGATCCTGACATGAGCAGAAATCAAGAGTCAGATGCTTAATGGACTGAGCCACCCAGACCCCCCTTCTCTTTAGTGTATTGTAGAAGCTGCTTGACTGCCTATATTCTTTCCATTTCTTCCTATTATAATGCTGATAGTATTTTCTTCCCTTTTGTGAGACTTGTTACCTCCTCTCATTTTTTGCAGCTTTCAACAATTTATTTTAGAAAATTTAAAAGATATGTATAGCAAATGAACTTTATTATATGGAAATAACCACTCTGATCATTATGGTGTCTAGTTTTCCAGTTGTTTTCTTTGTATGTGTGCATATATACTCTTTAAATTATATCAGATTGGATCAATCTGGGCATTCTTTGCCCTTTTTTTAAAAAACTTAATATTCTGTGAATATTTTCCCACATCTCATTTTTTGCTCTATATTATAGATGTATTATGATTTATGCCTTCTTCTTGGATGTTTAGTTCTTTAGGTTCTCCCTCCCTCCACCTTCCCTCCTTTCTTCCTATTCATCCACTCTTTCTGCCCTTATAACAAGTACTACAATATCCTTGTAGCTAAATTGTTTGGACAGACCCACGGTTATTTCTTAGAAGAGCAGAGTAATGGTTCTAAAATAAAGCTTTGATTTTGTCATCCCTATTATACGTATTTCATCTCTGTGTTGTGACCAGTCTGAACTTTTCATGCTAAAAACTCTTTGTTAGTCTGGCTCCTGCCAACCTTTCTGACTTTATCTCCTATCCTTTTCTCACACCCTTTAGCTACACCAAACCACATGTGGTTTCTAAAATGTGTTTTACTCATGCACGTGTTTTTGCCCTCTTTTCTTATCCACCTGCTAAATATTTCTTTGGCCTTCTAGCCTACATTTTGGTGGGAAGTTCTTGATCTCCCTAGGCAGTTAGGTGTCTCCTTCTTTGCGTCTGTGCACTCTTCTCCCAGAATGCCACTAGAATATTTCCAAAATTTCAGAAATTTGGTCTCCTTTGCTAGGCTGTAAGCTCCGTAATAGCAGGGATGTTGTTCTTATCATCTCTCTCTTTTCAGCACCTAACTCATAGGAGGGGTTTTTTGTTTGAAAAAAATCTGAGATCTGGGGAAAAGTACATCCTAACAATGGCATAATAGAATTAAATATTCTTTTTAATTCATTCCAAAATACTGTGAGGGGAAAAATTACTTGATTGAAAAATATTTATGGATAGCATAGAAAGTATAGTATTTTTAAAAATATAAATGTGTCATGAGTGATTAAGTAAATATATAACTGAATAACTCAATGCTTGCATTTAATATTGAAATGATAGTTTTATTAACTTTTAGAGAATTTAAGTGAAATGGAAACTTTCTTTTGGTTAGGTTTTATGTAAGCAAGAATATTTAAGTATAATATATCAAATATAAGTACAGTGTTTAAAACTGGAGTCATGTAATAGTATCATGATGGCTTTAAGTAGATTTAAGAAGAATTGGACTAGTTAACATTAGAACCGTAGGGGCGCCTGGCTGGCTCAGTTGGTAGAGCATGTGACTCTTGATCCTGGGGTCATGAATTCAAGCTCCACATTGGGGTGTAGAGTTTACTTTAAAAAAAAGTAACTTTAGAGCTATAAACAATAATCATTGGGAAGGTAGCATGTTTGGAGTTTCAAAAGACCAACATTATATTCCTGTAGAAAATGTTCATTGATACCTTAATTAAGGAGAGAATCCTGGGTTGCAGTATAATTGATCTGTTCTAATAGTCATCTCTTTGTTTTTGTTTTTTTTGAGGTTTTTAGCTTAATCATTCAAAATGATAGATATTTTCTTTGGTTCTAGAGTTCTTTAGTCTGAGAGTCTCCAAATTCTTACTCATTGTCTACTTGAATGTTAGTCAGTTTAAGTATTTTGTAATTTCTTTTGTATTGGGCTAACCTATATATATAGACTATCGCTTACATATATAGCACCTCTTTGTGTTAGTAGCTGCTTAAGTTCTTGAAGTTTGCTTTGCTTACCTCTTGTCTTCTTAGCACTTAGCATAGTGTCCTAGTGTTTGGTACTGCATTATGACAGGTTACACTAATTGGTGTTTTAACTTCATATTTTTCCTCCTTTTTTTTTAAAGGTAATGTGGCTTTAGATAACCTACAGATAAAAGAAAATGCTCTGGTAAGTTTTCAAACTATGTTGATTACTCAGTTAATTTGGTAAACTCTCAGAAATTCTTGGTTGCTTGGTATCTGGTATCAGGTACCAGATAAAGTGATTGAGTTACTCAGAGAAGGATTACTTGTTGAACTGTTTGCTATAGGAAAATCTGAGATTAAAAATTTAGATTTTTTCCCCCTGTTGATCAAAATGGTATTTCTTGGAAAGTGGAATGTTTTTCCTTGACTTAATTTGACCGAATAGCTTTGTAGTAGACATTTGTCTTACTTTAAATAATTTTCTCCAGAATTATCTTTACATATTTTTTTGGTAAATAAGAATTTGATTTTAACAATTTATCAAATGAATAATTATATTTTTGGAAATACCTTGACAGTCCAGCCTATAATATCATGGTGATATTAACAGGTCAAATAGATTTTTTTGGATTCTCGTGCTCCATCCCCTATTTCCCCTCCCTCTCTGTTAGGCTTTAGCCTATTGGACTTAAATTTGATTTTATGAAGTCACTTAAGAATGAGTTTATTCTTTTTTTTTTTTTTTTAGATTTTATTTATTTATTTTAGAGAGAGAGAAAGTGAGCAAGAGCGTACACATGTGAGGAATGGGGGGAGCAGAGGTAGAGGGAGAAGGTGAATCCCAAGCAGGCTGTGTGCTGAGCATGGAGCCTGATGCAGGGCTCAGTCTCAGAACCCTGAGACCATGACCTGAGCCAAAATCAAGAGTCAGACTCTTAACCCACTGAGCCATGCAGGTGCCTCAGAATGAGTTTATTCTTTAATTAATAGGTCAGATTTCTAACAAACTACAGTATGTTTTATAATCCTAGCATTGACTTCTGGTTGGATTTCTACATGATGATGAACTGTGTAATTAAGGAGAGTCTTATACCCAAAGTGCTCACATGATTGGTCTCAGGGAAGCCAGGTTTGGATATGGAAGATCCTCGGAATAGAACTTTGTCACGAGGAGTAACAACTGATTTTGTTCTACTAAAAACAACTTGGCAGGCATGGTGAAAAGGGCATGGATCTTGGAGTGAGGCAGACCTGGGTTTCAGTGCTAGCTCTGCCCTTTTACCAGCTGTGTGACTTTTGGCACGTTTCTTAGTTTCTGTGAGCATCAGTTTAATCATTTTTAAATTGGAGTTAATAATACAAGATAATATAATATGTCTGTGCTTTTGTGGCTTGAATAAGATTAAAAGTAGAGCCTGGCAAGTAGTGGGCACTCAAAATATTTAAATTTTCTTTCCCTTCCTTTATTTATATAGGATGCTACAACTTTTTAAATTTTACCCCAAAATTCAGAACTTAAGACTCTTTTGCTGGAGATTGGAGTAAAGGTTATTTTTTCCCTTTTTAGGAAAATATTTTAGAAGGAAAGAAGTATAAATAGAATTACGGTGAGAGGATATGTATCTAACATACTTAAGAGACAAATTGAACTCTGTGTTAGCCTAGTTTGAATTTGGGTTATAGTTAAATATAATAAATTATTTTGTAATTAATATTCTCCATTAATTCAAACTATAGCCTCCTTTCCCCGATTAAATTAGATTGGTGAGGTTTTACGTTGAATATGGGTTCTTTACATTTATTTTTTGTGAAAAATTATTTCATGAGGATCGAAGTGAGCATGAGCCCACACTTTTAGAAGTGTATAGTTTAGAGTTTGTATCTTGCATAACATAAAGTATTATATGAATGCCCTTGAATGCATCCCTCCCTACCCCAACTTGCTGCTGCCACCTTGCATATAGAGCTAGTCTCTTACCACCAGAGAGGAATTTTGTTTTTTGGTCTACAAAAAGATCAGTATTCTGTTTAATTCCTGTTCACCTAGAATGCTTGAGTGATCAGATGATTGGGTAAATTGATTATTTTAGTTAATTGTTACCTAAAGTACTATATTTCAGTCACCACGTTGATAGTATTAGTGTGTACTAAGGTACATCTAACAAAAAGGCTATTCTGATTGGTTTAATTTTTAATAATTCTAAAGACTCAAGTGATCATTGTGAATATCAATTATTGTTTAGTACTCTGTGAATAAAAAAGTTATTTGTACTTTCTAGTGGTTTGGAATCCAAATAAGTGAAAGTTTATTTTTATTAATGATTGGTACCTGTCAGTAGTAACTTAATCCAAAGTAAATGCTAATTTGGTAAATAATAAGTGGAGACTCTCCCTTTCCTTTTAAGATTCTTTTGTTTATTTACCAAATGTTTTATTTGAGTGAAAATAATTGTTCAGTTATTGCTTTCCACTAATTTTTGTGAAAGGACTCTTCCTTTTCCTATTCTAGTATTTTAGATAAGCAGTGTCTATCATTATTTTAAAAGTTCATGGCATTTCCATGTGTCTTGGTTTGGTTTATTAAAACAATATCCAGTTTATCCAATTACTTTCTTTAGCTACAAACTCTTTTCCTATCGTTCCTAGTTATAGTTTTGTTTCTCTTGTGAATTCTTTCCTCAAAGTCAAATTTAAGTCAATAGAAACTCTTTTTTTTTTTCAGGATGTCCTGAGTTACTCAGATACAGAAAATTTGTTTCATGTTTTTCCTTCGAGATGATTGTGTATTTAAATGATGATATAAAGGTGATTTTGGGGGAGCTTAATAATTTAAGGTGTCTTTTAAATTTTTTTCTTTCTTTCGAAGAGTGAGTTGGATGTTCCTTTTAAAGTCAAAGCTGGCCAGATTGGTAAGTACTCTTCACTTGAGTTATTCTTAATCCTTTTAGTTTTTTATTTTTCCGGTGTTATGTAATCTAAAAGATTTTTTAGCTTGAACAAAAATGTGAGAGGTTTTGGCTTATGTTGGTTAGAGCTTTTGGAGCTCTGGGCCTAATATATATTGTATGTCATACATAAATACTTCAAACTTTCTGATGAAAGGGTAGAAAATTACCCTCTAAAATGGAAGGATGTTTGAACTGCAATGATACATTTTAGGCTTTGGTTTTACTACACAAAATATATCTTGATTTTCAAAATTGATATCTAAATTCTGTATGCTTTTTCTTTATATGTGAAAGAGGTATAATTTAATTTGCAAAGCTCTAGTGAATAAAATTTAAGTGTAGCTTATTTCCCTCATGTTTTGTTCAATCATTTCACTTGCTATATTATGCAGCAGCGTGGTATAGAGGATGTGTCTTGGTAAGTAGAAAGTCTTTGCAGCTAAACTCTTACACTAAGATCATCCATAGCTAAACCTTCATCTTTTTTGAAGAAATTTTTTAATAGAATGTTAACCCGTGAAGTCCTCTTAGCTACTCCATATTACCTGATTTTTACTTTTTTAAAATTTAATTTACAGCCCTACACAATTTGCTGTTACTTTAGAATTTTCACTTATGCCACCATCATTCCTTCCACTTCCATCACCCTGCTACTTCACCACGTGGCTTTCCTGCTTCATTTATTTTGTATTCAAGGAAGACGTTGTCTTTCATTCTTCTAGCATCTCTTAGTGATTACTTGAAAACTTCTGTTTGAGTCTACTTTATATCCCTATATGTGTTCCTTTTAATATAAAGTAACGTTTTTATGTTTCTGTCTCTTGAAACAGGAGACACTCCCTTAGATTGAAAGCATCGCTAGGGCATGCATTATCTTTTTCGTTTGTCTGTTATACAGAGCCTTGTGCTGTGTGAAGTGGTAATATTTAGCTGTGGTGATATCTAGAAGTATTGTGGTCCTGCATGCTTAATTGAAATCCTAGAGTAAAGCTAAAGCCATTCATTCATCCTTTTACCTTTGAGATATTTATGCATACATTGTTATGTGTGAGACTACGTAGGTAGCTGTGGGAGAGGCAAGGATGAATATATGTTTGTCTTCAGAGAAGTTAGATCCAATTTTAGGACATAGTATTAAAATTGCGTTTCTAGGGTACTGGATGAGTTATATTTAACTAAAGAACTTTTACATTATTCATTATGTTATTAGAACTAGGTTTATATTTTAGAAGAGGTTTGCTAATGTTTCAGAATTTGTTCTTTTTTCTTTTAAAGTATTATAAGAATTTAATGACTCCCTTCAGGGTTACTCACTGACCCTTTACATATAAGGATGAAAAGCATATTGTTTAAAAAATATTTATCCCTTTTTTGGTTTATGGAACATTTATATTGGTTAAATTTCTCTTAGGTTATTACACCTAACCTGTAAAGTCAGTGTGGCTAAGTAAGCTCAAGAAAGTTTTGGTTTTCTAAGAGCTAGACATACTTGTGGGTGTTCCTTGGTTATCCTTTTACTTAAAGATTAAAAAATTTCCTATTCTATAAATGGGAGGCAGCGATATAACTAACTTAATTCCAGTGGATTCAGGATAATGAAGGATGGGAGGATAATGAGTTAGGGTAAATGGAGAGAAGAAAAGGTATAAGGGACAGACACTCCCTTTTTTGGTATGCTACAGTTAAAGGGGCATTTCCAACTTTTTCAGTCTCATACCATAAAGGCAATCAAATCAACTTCCTTTTTTTTTTTTTTTTTTTAAGATTTTATTATTTGAGAGAGAGAGAGACAATGTGCATGTGAGCAGGGGGAGGGGTAAAAGGGGATAGGGTTTTTTTTTTTTTTTTTTTAAGATTTTATTATTTGAGAGAGAGAGAGACAATGTGCATGTGAGCAGGGGGAGGGGTAAAAGGGGATAGGGGAGAAAGAATCTTGAGCAGATTCCATGCCCAGGGTGGAGCCTATTGCAGAGCTTGATCTCAGGACTCTGAGATCATGACCTGAGTGGAAATCAAGAGTTAGATGCTCAACCGACTGAGCCACCAGGCACCCCTCAAATCAACTTTTTAGGAGTTTATGAGTTAGCTACATATGTAACAGTATCTGTTATAAATATAGGTGGTTCTCACTATAAAGTCATTAGACTTAGAAATGGCATTACCTCTAGACTCCCCTGACATGGAAGCTATTTTGGAAACTCAACAGGTTTATAAACAGAAGAAAAGTAAAATTTAAATGGAGAAATAATTTGCGATTTTAACCCTGGGAATAGATTCCCAGGTAAAACTAGTTTACCTACATAAGCCATGCAGGTGAATCAAAATATGCTCCCTTACATTGCGTTATTTTATTTCCTCTTCTGCATATTATGCTGTTAAACAGTTCTTTGAACTTCGGGCATTTTTATTTAAAGGTGCCAGTGATTCTGGTGATATAAATAGTTGAGTCACTCTGGCATCCACACTGATGACTTAGGTAGATGTACGTAATTTATTTAAGTTCTCTGGAAATAAGTTTCCTATTTTCAAAATTGAAATGATAGCTTATATCATTATATATGTTGGGAATATCAAATGAAATGATATCAGAAAGTTGGAAAAATATAAAGCACAGTATGAATAGTTACTTCTAATAGTAATTAATATGGAAGAGATCTTTGCAAACTTCAGTGTTGGGAGTTTTTTCATTTTTTTCTGAGTGATAATACATACCATGTGTGAAGGGTTTTGTTATACTTTTTCTCTAAATGGAAAGTGGGAAGTGTGTATCTTCTGGAGCAGCCCAAATAAGAATTAAAGGTTGAAATTATGTTTTTTTAGATAAATTAACTTTGAAGATTCCTTGGAAGAATCTTTATGGAGAAGCAGTTATTGCGACCCTAGAGGGACTATACCTGCTTGTTGTCCCTGGAGCAAGTATGTTGTTTTAGGTTATAACCATTCAGCAACAGCATAGTGAAATTAAGTTGTTACCTTGGTTAAATATTTTAATATGTTTAATAAAATAGAAGATACTTTAAATAAACTAATCATATGCATATATGCACAAATATACATACTTTTTATCCAAATACACATATATATTGCCACAATTGTACATAAAATATTTTTATGTTGTTGGAAAGAATAATTCCAACCATTTGTTAAATTTATTCTCTTCTCTGTGAATAATTATTTTGCAACTAAGTCTTCATTTTAAGTTTGAGATGCATTAAATAATTTACTTTTGGAGAATGAAATGAAGTAAGTTTTTAAAAAGTACTGATGTGCTAATCTACAGATTTAAAGTCTGGAAATTTTTTTTTCTCTATTTTGTTGCTTCTGATTTTGAGTGATGTGCATTCAAAATGTGTGAAATAGGTAATTTTTTTTCATCATAAATAAAGTGTTTTAATTTTTAATGAATGTTGTATGTAAAGCAGTAGTGTTTATTTAGGCAATATATTTTGTTATAACTGTTTTTTCAGTTATAAGAACAATATAATGTTAAGAAAAGTTTGGATATTTTAGGGAAGAATTACTTGTTCTCCCAACCATAAAGCGAACAAAATTTTTATTTTTATATTTTGCTTTCCATTTTTTACTATATACATATTTGATTTGATACAGCATTTGTCACATTATATGGATCTGTTTTTTTACTTAATGTATATACTTTTGATATGTGATAGTGGTAATTTTGAAAGGCTGTATGATATTTCATTGTGAGCTGCCTACTCTTTTGGACTCTTAGATTGAACATTATAAACACCTCATTCTTATAGATATCTTTTTTTGTTCTTTTGTGTTATTTCCTTAGGATACATTATCAAAAATGAGATTTCTAGATAAAAAGGAAATATATATTTTCTGATTATTGATACATATTCTTAAATTACTTTCTGAAAGTCTTTTTATTAATCTATATTGATACCAGCTAGTACTGGATGTTACATATTTTTTATAGTTACTCAAAATTTTACCCTTCAGACAAAATAACTGGAAATTATCTGTTATATTTTCTGCCTTCCTTCTGTTTCTCCCTTTCACCTTTCTGCTCACTCTCTCCCCCTCTTAACGTTTTTCCTTTCTTCCTCTCTCACTTTAATTCTTTTCTTTCCCTCCTGTTTTGATAAAAGCTTTGTAAGTAAATAGGAATCATTTATTTATGTTTAAACTTTTTGTAAAACTAATTTAAAGAATGCAGCTCTTTTGAGTTACAAAAAAAAATGGCTTACAAGACTTACAGTATAAATACACAATCATCATGAGGTTGAACTTTTCTTCTTTATTTAATAATTGCATTTCCTAGTGTGTGAGCTAACTATATATTTTTAGGTATTAAATATGATGCTGAAAAAGAAGAAAAATCCTTGCAAGATACTAAACAGAAAGAGCTATCCCGAATTGAAGAAGCCCTCCAAAAAGCAGCGGAGAAAGGTACAATATGTTTATGTTTTACACATGATCTTAGCCAAAAGACCAAGAAGCGATACAATATGTTTATGTTTTAGATAAACTTACATATAGCTATATTTTAGATATATTTAATGCACTGTAGAGAGGATGCTTTCATAAGCCTCCATAAGTTGTAGTTCAAAAGAAAGAATATTCTTTTAAAATCATATCTCAAAATCTTGAGATATGCAGTTTAAGAATCTCTATTTTTATGAAAACAGTATTCTTTTTTCTATTACTTTTGTGTGCTAAATAAAGCAAGATGAAAATGGTTTTGTTTTATGACAATTCAGTGTGATTATTTACTTTTATTCACTTTTTGTTAATTAGTATATGTGGAAATAGTACCATAAAATGAGGAGAAAGACTTGGAGAGCACTAGAATTTCATTTCTTTCTTGGTACAGGTCAGATTAAGTATATTTTTTAACCCACTGTATGTATGTATGTATGTATGTATGTATGTATTTATTTATTTATTAAAGATTTTATTTATTTGTTAACAGAGAGAGAGAGAGAGAGTGAGAACAGGAACACAAGCAGGGGGAGTGGGAGAAGGAGAAGCAGGCCCCCTGCGGAGCAGGGAGCCCGATGTGGGGCTCGATCCCAGAACCCTGGGATCGTGACCTGAGCCGAAGGCAGATGCTTAACTACTGAGCTACCCAGGCACCCCAACACACTGTATTTAATGATACATATTCATCAGTAGGCATATTGACATATATTTAGATAAATCGATACATACAATAAAATGTATCATAATATATGTATAATATAGCATAATTATACACATATAATTTATTATGTATATACAAAATTAAGTTATATTTTTCCTTTTCAGAAACAAACCCCAAATTCCTCTTTTTTTAATTTTTGGATGGAAATAACTGTGATTATTTAAAAATATTTTTGTGTTAACAGTGAACTGTAAGAAAAAGCATGCATAGGGGCGCCTGGGTGGCTCAGATGGTTGAGCGTCTGCCTTCGGCTCGGGTCATGATCCCAGGGTCCTGGGATCGAGCCCCGCATCGGGCTCCCTGCTCGGCGGGAAGCCTGCTTCTCCCTCTGCCTCTGCCTCTCTCCCTGCTCATGCTTTCTCTCTCTCTCTCTGTATCTCTGTGTCTCAAATGAATAAATAAAATCTTTAAAAAAAAAAAAAAAAGCATGTATAGTTTCTCCTGTTCTAGTAGTTTACAGCTTAATTGGCAAATGATAACATGCTATACGTTTTATATTGAGTACCTATGAAATTTTGACTCCTGGGTCTTTAATGCTTAGGCAATTTATATGTTTAGGCCTGGCAGAGACGCTGTTATGGATGACTTGATATATTTATAAGGGCTGAACATCTGTGGCACTAAGTTTGTGTAACTAGGACTATTAGGCTTATATAATAATTACATTGTAGCTTCGTGGATGATAAAATTTAGGTTTTGCTGGGATAGAACTAAAATTCAGAAAGTGATACTCAATTTTAACATTATTATCTTAGATTTTTCAGAAAAATGTTTTGAGTATAAAAGAGATGAATTCTGGGTGCCTGACTGGCTCAATTGGTAGAACATGTGACTCTTGATCTTGCGGTTGTGGATTCAAGCCCCATGTTGGACGTAGAGATTACTTAAAAATAATATCTTAAAAAAATAAAAGAAATGAACTGGGATATATGGGATAATTGGGATATATGTTGATATTGTTTTTTTTAATTGCAGTAAATTTAATTATCTTGACTGCATATAATTATTTTTCTAGTTTCTATGAATATCGGTCACATTTTCTTGTATTATTATTTGTATGAATGATAAAAGACACCCTGGTCATAGATGCCCTGCATTTCATCATTATTAATAATTATTACTTAATACCATACTTTATTTTTGAGGCTTATTTTTTTCCCAATTATTTCTTGGTTTTAAAAGCACAAAGGTACCATGGCACATGTATAGAGACTCAGAGAAGGAGAGAAAGTGATTCAGCCCCAAGCAGCAGATGATAAAATTGAAAACAAAATCATCATGCTAATCTGCTTTAAAAAAGTATTTTTACTTAATTTGTTTCATTTGGTAAAATACAGTGCTGCCCACAATCGTGGGAAAAAATAAAATTGAAATATAAATGAGTTCATTTCTAAACAGTTTGCTCAACTGTAAAAATAAACTTCTTGATGTTTTTCTTCTTTTATCTTATTGTAGTGAGTTTATTTTCCTGGAAAGGCTATTATAAAGTAAAGGGAAAGAGGAAATTCCTAGTGAGGCCAAAGATTCCCAAATCCTATATATTCTGTATTTATCTAAGTGATATATACACACACTTTAAAATCAAATAGCTTTGCCAAAAAGACTTCTGATGAAACATGCCAGTCTCCTGTTCCACTCTTCTTTACCTTTAGACCCATTCCTTAAAGGGAACCATGGTTTTAGATATATTAATGTTCTGTCATTATCTAATCTATTAATGTAAGGTATTATCTAGGATTTCCTGTTATGGTAGTCAAGGAGTTTACTTCTCTTACCATCTCCTTTCACTCTAAATTCCCCTCTCTCTCCTCATAATATGGTTATATCATAATTTTTGGCCAATTACTAGTCAAAATTTACATTACTATGACAGTGTAATTGTTCACTGTATAGGTCAAATGTACTAGATTATATTTCCTTTCTTATGCAACCTTTTGTTTTTCTTGAATTTGTAAATGCTTCTTTTTCATTTGCTTTGTTTTCTGTGTAAATTTACCTTTAATTCTTTTCCCTTGCTATGTGAAATCTGTTATATGACTATCAGTGTTACTTTCCAATTGCCCCTATCCACCTATTGGTCCCCTCCCTGGACCCATTTTTCTCTTGGAGATCGACCATTGAAATGGTTGTTTTTTCAGTCCGGCTGCACGGTTGTCATCCTAGGATTGGTCTTCATCCCTCTTCTGTGTTAAATTCATTGTTTTCTGGGTCCTTTGCCTTTTGTTCTTTGTTACTTTGCTTTGCTAAAGCGTTATCTAGTAGCTTTGAAGAAAGGATACATTGGATATAATTGTTAAAATCCTTTCAAGTCTGAAAGTCTTTGTTTACTTAAGCACTTGTTTTATTTGGCTGGAGATAGAATGCTAGGTTTAAAATTAGAATTTTGAAGGCAGTATTGTTTAGTTTCCAGGTACTTTTGAGAAGTCTGATGCCAATCTGCTCAACACATTGTTGGAAACCTAAAAATCAGAAAACCTGTGAATCCTGCTGTCAAAAACCTTACATTTTAGAGGAGAAATAAGAAATGTGCATAATCAGTCTTAAACAGGACAAAGTGTTGAGTCTCATCAAAGTGGTACACATAAGAGTGGTAAGAGAGTGAACATACCACATTAAGCCAAAGAGATCAGGACAGACACTATGAAGATAAATATTTCAGCTATGTCTAAAAGATGAGTTTTCAGAAAAGGAGAGAGGGTCTTCTAGGTAGAGGGGACAGTAAAGAGAAGGAAGTATAGAACAGGTACAGGGAATAGCTAAGAATTTGGGAGTTTGATGGAATGTAATTAGATGTAGGTTGAAAAGCTGAGTTTAGGTCAATTTTAAGAGATTTGAATGCCATGATGGTGATAATGGTGATCGTATGACAATAATAGCAGCTAACATTTATTGAGCATTTATTATTTGTCAGTCACTCTTCAAAATGCTTCAGATATATTGACTCATTTAATAGTCATAATTCTATGATAAAAGGCTATTATTGTTCCCATTTTACAGTTGAGAAAGCTGCAAGTTAAGTAACTTGTCCTAAGTCACACAGCTAGAAAATGATAGAGCTATAATTTGAACCTACTCTGGCTCTATCTAGATCCTATATTTTTAGTTTTGTGTTATAGTGGACTTTCATCTGTAACCAGTGAGAGAGTCAGTAGTAAGTTTTCCTTTTTCTTTCTTTAAAAATCCAGGAGTGATGTCATCAAAGCTGTGTTTTCGGAAGGTTAAACTTGCCTTCGTGTCTGGGCAGTATGTGAGGAGGGAAATGGAGGAGAGTGCTATGTAGCCATCACTAACAAGAATGGATAAGAAAGGATTCAGAAAGTGTATCTAAAGGGAACAGATCAGACTAAAGCTAACTCTGAAGTTAGTGTAAATATCACAGCAATATTTCATTCTGCAAATGGGCAAAACAGTGGGCAGAAAGGGAACCAAAATAGCAGACTTTTGCTCTTTTTGAAAATTTCAAATAATTTGTTGAGGCAGTAGCCATAATTGATATTTGTCTGCCTTGCTTAATTTGAAATTATTAATTGTTATAATTTTAATTATTAGAAAATTTTGTTATAATATTATGATAATAAAGTTTGTATGTTAAACTAATGGAAATAGTTCCTTAGAAATAGATTGTTCTGGTGTCGCCACATTTTACTTGTCTGTTACGTGATTTCTAAGTCTTTGAATTAAGTTTAGACATGTTTTACCTGTGAAATTAAGGTGTCTCTTAAATGCTTTGCATTCTGGTTATTGCTGCCATGCGGATGCAGGCGCACATTCAGGGGAGTTCATATATGGCTTGGAAAGCTTTGTTTACAAGGACGTCAAGCCTGGTGGGTATGCATGGTTCATTATATTTAGCTATATAAAAATTATATTCCTATCTACTCTTGAGCTTTTAGTGGAGCCCATTTGATGATATGCCATTTTTTTTTTTTTTAGAAAATATGGAAATGTAATTCATGTTTTTCTCTTTTACCATCATTTCTGTTTCCCAACCTTCTGTAGCCATTTGTTCATTCACTATAATATTTAGGGTCTTCTTGTGGAAAGCACTGTGCTGGATGCTGAATATTCATGGGGTGAAGCAAATATGATCTACTGCCCTTGTGAAGCTTACAGTTTGATATATAGATAACTTTCAAATCTAGACTGTCTTTCTGACTTTGGTTCTGTAGTGTAGTAATTTCTCAGTTAGTCAATTCCTCTCTATAGCAGTGGTTTTCGCACTTGTAAAAAGCAATAAAATGGAACGTTTTTTAGTGAGTGAGACTTTATTTAGAGCCTTGATAAGAAGTGTTCCTCTGGGGTTCTTCATATCCTTCCTGATTTGCTTTATCTCTGTAGGAGCTCCAGAGGCACATGTAGACTATTGTCTTATACAGCATATTGAAATTTGAGGCGTCACAAAAGGCAGATTTGAAGGCTGACTGCTTTAGGATTTATAATAGGATTTTTTTTATATGGTAGGGAATTTAATACATACAAGTACATTAAAATAATAATTCTGATATTATATAAAATGATTTGATGTATTTGATTATATTTTCTATAACTTTATAGGAGTTTATTATATTAACTTAGTCACACTTAAAATTTGTTTTGTTTAAGTGGCAAGTGGGGTCTGTACTAGAAATGTAAACAATAAGCATTGTGTTAGAATTACTTCTACAGCTAGAAGCTTCTTTAATATTTAGGTTCATTTGACAAATGGAAGAAGAATTTGCATGGCAAATTTCACAGCAATGAGTGAAATTACCCTGAAAGACGTTTCTCTTTTAATAAAATCTGCCCCTTTAGCAAGTGTAACTGACTATGTTAATTTGTCTTACAGTTATTATTTAATATAAAAGATAGTCTGGAAATACTCATGGCTCAGTGTTTAATTTTGTTATAATTAGACCAGCTTTCTGCAGTCTGCTAGGGCAGTATTTTCCGATATTCCTAGGAGGAATCTGCCTCCAAGGTACAAATGAATTCCAGTGGCCCATTCAAGTCATAACAAAAATCACTGGGTAACATTGGTGGTAAAAACAAACAACCCCCCCCCAAAAAAAACCCAAACAGACAGTGGTCACTATAAAGGAAAACCTAATTAATTCAGAGTTTATTTCTTTAAAAACACTGCATTAACCTGGATAAAAATCTGGGCCTAGAATTTGGTGATTCTGAAATGAGAACAGTTAATTTTGTTGATGATATCTTGATTCATTTGGCTAGGACTTAATGTAGACTCAGATCATTTCATCTTTTCACTTGCTGAATGTGTATTCCTTCCTTATTTGGTGTCATTTAAAAAATTTTTCCAGAGCATGTCTCTCAAAACGTCAAAACTATTTTCATAATAATGCTAAAATAATAACGTGATTTTTCACTGTGCCGCCGCTGGAGCTGCTGGTGCATAGGCAACGTTGGGTAAAGTTGTGGCTGCCTTAGCATGAATCAGGGCAGTGGCACCGAACGTTACTGGCAGCCAGCCATTGCATTGTTCAGTGTATCACAGTAAAAAATAAGATGAAACAAAAGAAAAAGAGCACCAATTTTACTTAAGAATATTCTTGATGGAATAGGAAAAATTTAATTTTAATAAACTTAAGCCCTTGAGTATGTCTTTAATATTTCGTGTGACAAAGGAGGAAATAGGTATTAAGCACTTAAGTAGGATAATTGTCTCAAGGAAAAATACCTGTGCATTATTTGAATTGTCAGCTGAACTAGTTGCTTTTTTTTTTTTTTTTCCCTGGAAAACCATTTTACATGAAGAGTGACTGACAGACTATTATTCAGATTTGGGTGTTTGGTAGATACTTCAGCAAAACAACTTCAAGAAAAAACAACTGATGATGTTTGTTGCCAGTGATAAGATTTTTTAGCTTTTGAGCAAAAATTAGAATTTTGGAAAACTTTTATTTGCCACCTGGAGCTTGGCAGCTTCCCAGTACTTAAAGACTTTTATGATGAGATTAGTGGTGATACAAATGTGATTTTTTTTTTTTAAAGATTTTATTTATTTATTCATGAGAGATAGAGAGAGAGGCAGAGGCAGAGGGAGAAGCAGGCTCCTCGCGGAGCAGGGAGCTCGATGCGGGACTTGATCCCAGGACCCTGGGATCATGACCTGAGCTGAAGGCAGACGCTTAACCGACTGAGCCACCCAGGTGTCCCACAAATGTGATTTTTGATATTAAATAATGAAATCACTCAACATTGAGAAGATCTGCATAATTCAATGAAGTGATATTTCCATATTACCAATGCATGATAAAAAATCAGGTATGTGTCAAAGGTCCTTAAAGTGTAAGGTAGACCAATTGATTTTAATTCATATGAAAAAATTATTGATAGAGTTTCAGATTCCAAAATGCAACTAACCTTTAAGAAATTACCACTTGTTGAGTTTGGGTGTAGTATCCATAATTACATGAAAAGACCATGAGGATGTTCTTCCCTTTTTTATTACATATCTGTAGTTAAGTCAGATTTTCTTTATGTGCTTCAATCTAAACAACATTTCAAAAGACCAAAGGCAGAAGGAGATAGGTGAATCTAGCTGTCTTTTGCCAAGCCAGACATTAAAGAGATTTGTAAGAATGTAAAACAATGCTACTCTTTTTACTATAACCCTTTGTTTGGAAAATATGGTTATTTTCATAAATATGTGTTATCAGTGCTATCACATGTTTTTTATTTTATCTTTTTACATAATGTTTTTAAAAATATGAATTAATAAATATTTTTAAAATTTCTCCATTTTGATTTCCAATATGGTAAATATCAATAATTGTAACCCACACTAATAAAAAACTTTTTAGGGTTCTCAAGTAAGTGTGTTAAAGGTGTCATGAGACCAAAATATTTGAGGACTAATTTAGAGAGTGATACAGAATCATAAATTTAGTATTCATCAGGTTAAATAGAAACTTTCTCTAAAGAACTGTGTGGCAGTCAGATTAGATTTTGAAACTATTTGGAGAGTTTTAAAACATGGTACATGTAACATTGAGATCAAAGATGGAACAAGGGGCTAAAACAGTTGTGAAGCCAGAAAGATAATAGGTGGTCAGGTTAGAAGAGTGAGTTATGGTACAATCTAAACCCAGGCAGCTGAACCTGTTTCTGAAAGCTGTTCTAGCCAACTGGGATGGTTTTCAGGGCTACTCTGGCTTTCTTGTTTCTTTTCAAGTGATATTTCTTTGAAAACTCAGTCTTTCTCTAAATGTTTATGAATGAAAAAGACCATCATTATGGCAAGAAATACTGGTAATAGCAAAGTCCAGATTCTTTATGTATTTATTAAATATTTTCTTCTTGAAACTCAGGGTTTTATTGTTGAAATCCAGGATTTGGTTCTTAGTTTTTGTAGTGGCAGGACAATTTGCTTTAAAATATCAAGGGAGAACAATTTTGAAATTTCAAGCCAGATTTTATGTATATTCTATCAAATACTATATATATAACATGAACTGAACTTACATATTTTATTATAATGTTCAGATGTGGATTTTTTTATTCATTTGAACAGATGCATATCATGTGCTTTGTGCCCAGATACTGGATAATTCTTGTCCTAATGAAGCCTCCTGCCTGGTGACAAGACAGTTGTACAGACATTTCAATTTCAGTATAATCACTGCTTAGTGGAAGTCTGTATAAAGTGCAGAGGTAGATGGCCCTGGAGCTGCTTGAAATAGTTGAAGAAAGCTTCAGACAGGCCCTTGCAGACCTGAGATTTGGGAGCCTCCTGGGAATTTGCCTGGTGAAGAACTTCAGGGAAGGCAGCTGAAGTTCAGAGAATGATCTATATATATATAGAGAGAGAGAAGCCTTAGCCATTAGAAAGTTTGGCTTGTTGTGGAAATTACGGATAGTGTTTCTGAAGTGTCCAGTGCAAGGATGAGTAGAGGAGATAGAACAGTACAGGGAGTTAGGGGTTAGGTCATGAAAAGACCTTTGTGTCATGCAAACACTTTTTCATTTTATCTGCCAGGCTGCAGAGAGCCTTTAAAAGAATTTCAAGCAGGGGATTAACAGGCTGTGAATGGTATTTTAGAAGGTATCAGTCTGGTGGCACTACAGAAGGATGTTTAGTAGGAGGTAGAGTGGAGACTGGAGGCAGGGGAAACCATACAGAGACCACCTGGTGTGCAGGCTAGAGATGACGTTTAGTAGGAAGTTAAATGTAAAGGTTTGTAACTTGGGTATTGTTTAATGCCATGAAAGTGAGGTAGTGCCAAATAAAAGAGGATGAAGTTTTAAAGGAATTAATTATTAAGCCAATTTCCAGTACAGTTCAGTGTACATTTTTTGCCCTTTTGGTGTTCTTTGTATCCTTAACTCATTAAAGGATTTTGCGTGTGAGGTGTATCATCTAGAGGAAGTCATCTGTCAGCAACCTGCCCATTCACTTCATTTGTGTTCGTTTGTCCCTACCATATACTTATGAAAACCTTTCCCTGAAAGTTTTATATTCTGTCATTATTACATTTCCAATATTTTGATAACATTGAAATTAAAATTAAACTTTGTATTGTGAAAAGTCATAAATATTATAAAGGGCTTTGCATATGGATATTTTGCCCAATTTTTGTATAATTGGATTTGTCAACTTATTTGCTAGATTAAAGAAGGTTATTCTAAAGAAGGTTTGTGAATTTCTGTTTGTATTGAAATAGCAGAGGTCAGTTTAGAATAAAGTAAAGTGAATTGTACCAAAATTTGCTGTCAGGAAGAATTCTCTTGTTTTCTTTTCTGTCCTCTAGTCTGCTAACTTGAATTTTATCCTTTTCTCACTAAAATGCTTCCACTGAGAAGGACGTAAACGTAAAAAGCACAAAAAACATTTTAAGAAACCTTTTAAAGGTCTTGATCGCTCGAAAGGTAGGTAAAAGTAGTTTTTATGCCATGTGTTATTTATACACATCACCACTTGATTTCTGTCTCCAAAGGTAAAATAAATGTTACATACAATGTAACTTCAAAAATAAGTTTTAAGTTGGGAATGCATATTAAAATAAAATAAATCTAAAATAAAACAAGGACACCAGAATAGGCTGTCCTTTCTATTGAGTAGTGCCTTAGCTATCCTTTGGTCATTTGATTATGAAGTATGTGAGAATTTCAACTCTTGACCTTGTATTTTTCTCTTTTTTATAGATAAACCAAAAGAAGCCAAAAAGGATACGTTTTTGGAAAAGTTGGCAACCCAAGTAATTAAAAATGTACAAGTAAAAATCACAGACATTCACATTAAATATGAAGATGATGTAAGTAATTTCAATTTATTTAAAGTTAGTAATTAAATGTGTATTTTATGGTAATAGTATTGATTTGTCTAGATATGAGTTACCTGTACTAGATTTTAAATCCAAGGTTGTTTTTTATTGTTGTTGTTATTGTTTTCTGATGAGTACACTACCGTATCTTCTTTCCTGTGTTACACCTTTTTCGCCAGGCATTTATATATAAATGTAAAACCACCATATGTTCCTGTCTAAAGGTAATATGACAGATTTTCCAGTTGTCCTCTATTATTTATTTTGAATTTTAATGTTATAAGGTGTATACTATTATAACTTTAAGGAACTATACTGACAAAAATATGAGTTCCAAGTGGTGATGGAAACAGTCAATTACAATGGTAGTTGGTAGAGAGGGGACTAAACTCCAGGTCAGTAGACCGCTAGTCTCATTCTCTTTACATTCCTTCAGCTTGGATTGAACATGCACAGCTTACATACATGTGCAAAAGTGTATTTAGAAACCACACTTCACTTATAACCAGAGTTTAACGTTAGTTGATTAAAAAACTGCTGATTAATTTTAGCTAAACTAAATATACATTGCTTTGTTTTAAAGTTTGAAAAATATGTAAAATAACCTTGAATTTTTTTCATTTACTTAAGATGATGGAAATATTCTATCTCTTCTAAAATTTGGATTTAATTAAAGCCATACTGACATACATAGAATTTATTTTCTTTTCCTGATAAGTTCCTCATAGAACTTAAATTTCAGTGAGACATATTTGTAGTTTTTTAAGATATACTCCATCTTATATTGACTTTACCTTTTGGTTTTATGTAGTTGTTAAACTGAACTTTGTCAACAAATAAATGTCAAAAACCTAACTCATCAATGCCCTTGTTTAAACAGACTTAGCAAAATAAATCAACTCAACACATCATGGAAGTGAAAGAATTATTCTTAAAACTAATGGCATATTGATGAATGAGTACCTCAGTTTGAACTTAAACTAAGCTTTTTACTGAGCAAGTACAATTAGAAAGGTACATCATTTCTCTCTCTTTAATAAAAAAATACAGAGAGGCTCAGGAATGGGCTAAGTACCTCAATTAAGTTGGTATCATTGACAAAATATATTAAAATAATCTAATAGGAAAGAATTAAAAAGTGCAGAGGGATCTTTCTTGTATCATTCCTTTTTCAATGTGATTACCTTAATTATTGTATGTAGGATAATGAAAAATAGAGTTTAGGAAGTGGGGGATGGGGAAAGTGTAATAATTTATCACGAAAATGTTCATTGAATGATAGTAATAGTTTGTGGGTAGTGCCTTAGCAAGTGAGGTTGTGTGTTACTAAATTTCCTTCTGAAATAGGTGCAAGTTATCTTGAGCTAGTTGTCTATAGGTATAAAAAAGTTGAGTGTGAGAATAAAGGAGGATATTAAAAACTGAGCTCACAATGCTATTTGTGCTTTTTCAATTATTCCAGAACATGCATTTTTTCCTACATTTGACAAGGGTCTATGTGACTATGCTCTGGAGTCTATGTAACTATACTCTGGATGATTTAGAATATTATGTTTTTTCCCTCTCTCTTGAGTTTCCCTGGTTTCTGTCATGGTCCAAAAAAACTCTGTAAGACTTGGACATCCTTATGATGTCTAAAGCAATGACATTGTACACATTGTGGTACAGTGTAACCCTGGTGTATCAATATAACTTATGAATTGAAGATCAGGAATAGAACAAAAGTTTTGTAGGTTAAGAGACTGAGGATATTAAATGTTAAGCATCTTGGGCATTTCCTAACAAAGTATTTTTGAAAGTTAAGGGTATTAAAGACTTAAAGAGACAGTTCACATTTCTAAGTGTGAAAATTGTAAATGTTTGAAAAGTAATTTAGTTACAGTGTTATCTGTGACTAACAGTTTTATTTATCTAGGAAGAACATCTTTAATGATAGACATAAAGAAAACTGTTTCTTTTTCTCCTTTTAAACAAGAATCTTGTTAGTGAGAAAAAAGTTCACTTCATAAGAAAAGAGTTCCACTGGGAAAGTGTCATTTCAGTGTCCTGCCTACAAAATATGGCTAATCCTAGCCTTGTTATTCCCCTTTTCTCCTCTTTTTTTTCCCACAAATCCATTTGGGTTGTGTGACTTGTATACTAATTGCCCTGTGTTGCCCATTGTACAGAGTGGAACATGAATTTACTCTCACCATCAGTGTATTTTAATGTCACCTTTTCTTTTTTGCTAGGTCACTGATCCACAGCAGCCTCTTTCATTTGGTGTCACACTGGGAGAACTTAGTCTGTTGGTAATGTTGACCTTATTTACAATTTTTGTGAAACGTGTAAAATATTTCCAAGTCACAGGGTGAATTGCCTAAAATCAGCTATCAATACAAATAGCTATTTTATTTTTATGTACAATTTTTTTATAGTTTTTCTAGAAATTTAGAATTTATAGTGATGCCGTTATTACATTCTCTAATTATTTTGCTTTGTCTTTGAACTTAAGAAATATCAAAATGCCAATACCAAATGTTTTTAAAGAACTAAAAGCTGTATCTTAAACATGTGGGAAAACAGGGAAAGGTAAATTTTTATAGATCATGTTCTCATTCTTGGTATAGGCAGATAGAATTTCCAAATAGATTGTAAATGTGTATATGTACGTGTGTGTGTATGTATTACATTGAGATGTATATAAGGTCATTTATTTTGGTTATATATTTTATTATATAGTTTGGTTTTTCTCCTAAAGATCTTTAAGGATAGTGTGTATATTTAGGTTGGACATTTTCCCCTCTATTTTCTGTGGACAACTAAGTGGTAGGAAAAACATTTTGAAGTTAAGGACAGTGAACAGTAAATCATGCTGGGTACGTGTTTGTCTTAATGATAGTTGTATGGAGAGGGCCTTAGTAGGGAAAGAAGAGGAAGAGAAATGAAAGAGAAGTGGAATTCCAGAGGAACAGAAAAAGGACATGGTTACATAGAGGCCTTCAGAATGATATTTCCATACAGATAAGTAGAGATATCCATCAGATTGAAGACCAAAGAAGAAACATTGGGAAAAAAAACAAAAACCCTGGAGAAACAAAGTTAAGGGAGTCAAGGAAGCTAGTGTTTATTATACTGTTTATCCTCTGCTTCTTTCCAAAATGAATTTTAAGTGGCTTTTGATAAAAAAGAAATAATACAGTAACAGAGACTACAGATAATTGCTCCAGAAAAACCAGACTAACAATATTAGTCATAAATGAGCACAATATTTTATGTTGAGTTTCCAGCCAACAAAATAAAAAATTACAAAATAGTTATGTACCTCTCATAGAGGCATCCTAGTGTATAAGAATGATGTGTAGTTTCCTCAGTGTGTATTGTTGTTTGATTCTCTGTATCTTTTCTCAGACTCTTCATACTGTTTTCTTAGCCTGTGTTACTTTCTTCCCTTTGTCTCCCTGGTGATTCTGTTCAGGTTTTAATTTTTATGTTAGATATTACCTTGTCTTTCTCATTCCTTTTTCACTTTCCTCTTAGAATTTATCATTCTTTCTTTTATGCTCCCCATTATATTTTATTATAGCACCTGTAACATATTATTATACTGGTTACCATGGTGATCTTCTGTCTAACCTTCATTCTTTCACTGGTAAAATAGTACCTTTATTTTAGAATTTTTGCATTGATTAAATGAGATAGTTTGTGTAAAGCATTTGGCACATGTGTGGCTTAGTTATTTCCTGCTTCAGCTACTACACTGACTATAATAACAACAATAACCCCAGACTTACCTCTTTCTGTATCCATAGCATTCCTTTTTTACATCTTTCCAATTATACTCTAACTCTTATATCTAGGGTAATCTTCCCACCTCTGATCTGGATCCCATCCTCCCCATGTCCTGGGAGCCTTTTTTCCTCCCTTTCTCTCTGCCTCTTTTCCTCCCTTCATTCTTTCTTTCCATCACTTTCCTTCTCTTTCCTACATCCTCAACTCCCTTCCCTCCCACTTTTCCCTCCTCCCACTCCTTCTTGTAAGCTAAATTTAAACACATTCAAGTCTGTCTTTTACAACAAAATTAAAAAGGCCCTCCTGAACCTTCTCCCCCTCTACCTAGCCCCCATCTAACTGCTGCCTTCTCTATCTTTTCTTTCTAACTCAACTTTTTGAGAGAATTCTCTACCTTTACTGTCTTTGTTTCCCCACCTCTGTTACTCTGCTACTTCTCTGAAATTTTTAACAAGTCCATTAGTAACGTCCTGGTTGCTCAATAAACTTTAGATAAATTTTAGTTTATCTGATTTGACACTGTTGATCATGCTGACTTTCTAGAAACATGGTCATGCTGTTATTTCCATATTCTCGTGGTTTTCTTTGCAATAATTATTTATTTGACTTTTTAGAAGAATGTGGACCTTCACTATCTTATAGGCTAGCTCTCTTTCTTTTTATTCATATCCAATTCCTTCCACACAGACACAAAGTAGATCAGCAGTTATTTTCTGGATGAATGAACTCAGTTAAATTAGAACCTCCTCAATTCTATTTTCACTGTTTCTTTGAGTTTGTCTTATAGATATGTAAGGAAACAGCTCACAGTAGCCATGGTTAGCTAGATGTCTTTTCTTTTATCTAAGTTATTTTGTTACAGTTTATAAATATTAGAGTACTGTTTTATGATATATATACTTTGTTTCACAGTTATTTTTTTCTTTTAGACTGCAAATGAACACTGGACTCCATGCATATTAAATGAAGCAGAAAAAATTATATACAAGGTATTAGACTGGATTAAGAAATTCTTGTTATTTTTCTAGGTGCAAACCCTTAATGTAGTTTTTTGAAACCTTGATGGAGCCCAATGTGCCATTGGAGTATGAGTTAAAATTGTAAGGTCTAGTTTTGGCTTTGCTACTTGCTATGTGACCTTCTGTAATCACTTACCTTTTCTGAGGTTTAGGTTCTTCACCTAGCAAAAGAGATCAGATAAAACTAATATTTCCCAAATTGTATTTTATGGAGCATTAGGTAATTGAGATATTAGCTTTGTAGAAAAAATATTCTCTGGTCAAGATTACTGACTAAAGTACTAAGCCATACATAGTTAAACTGTGTGTTTCATTTTGTTTTAAACCACAGGACTTCACAATACTTTAAATATGCTAATAAACATTGTGAATTTTCAAGAGGGGTGTCTAGTATGTTGCTCTCCCCACCTTGCTGTTCTAGAATCCCCTCCCTTCACCCCTCCTTCTAAACAGTCATTCATATCCACTGGAGGAATCATGTCTTTCTTATTCAGCAAAACATGTACAAGTCTGTTAAAGAGTAAATTCTCAATTAATATTTGATAATTGAATGAATGAATCTCCGTGGAAATAGTGTTGCTGGAAACACAATTTACCAAATGCTAAGATTAATGAAGTCTATGAATAACATGTGTGTATTTTCCCCATTTTTGCTTTATTTTTTTCCTTTAAAAGTTCAAAATGGCAATTGGATAAGTCTAGGGTGAACATGAGAATAATCTTTTAATACTGATTCATAATTTTCATGTGTTAGTTGCTTGACCTCTTTCATTTTTCTTTTATAGCTTATACGACTTGATAGTCTTAGTGCCTACTGGAATGTAAACTGCAACATGTCTTACCAGGGATCAAAGGAACAGATCTTGGTAATTTCAATTTATACCTGGAAGAGCTAACTCCACTCCCTAAATTTTTTTAACTTAAGAGGTCTTTAATGAGGACAGGGTATAGTCTTTTGTTTAAGTTGTATTTAACCAAATCAGAATTGTGAAACAGTTTTTGGAATCCACTCCTTTTTATGTATGTATGCATGTATTTATTTATTTTTTTTTTCAAGATTTTATTTATTTATTTTGACACAGAGAGAGAGACAGCAAGAGAGGGAACACGAGCAAGGGGAGTGGGAGAGGGAGAAGCAGGCTTCCCGTGGAGCAGGGAGCCCGATGCGAGGCTCGATCCCAGGACCCTGGGATCATGACCTGAGCCGAAGGCAGATGCTTAACGACTGAGCCACCCAGGCGCCCCGCCACTCCTTTTTATTTAAAAAAAAAAATGTTCATATAAGAATGATTACTTAAAGAGTATTGTAAAGAAAGAGGATACTTTTCAGATCTAAAGAATATATCCTTAGCAAATTTTCTTTTAAATTGAAGTATAGTTGACCTTAGCAAATGTTTTATGCATTTGTGATGATGATTTCCTCAACAGTGAAAGGTTAATTCAAAACTTCAGTGTGCTAAGTTAGTCTTAGTCATTTTTATTTAACTTAGAGGAAAAAGGAAGAAGAGTTGAATTTTCTGAACTTGAATTAATTCCAAGGTTCTCTCTCTTACTGCTCAGAAAGATATTGTAACAAATAATTTGCCTTTGTCTAGAAAGTGTTTGAGATCCCAATTCATGGATGTTTAGTTGTTTTTTATTTTTAAAAATTTACTTATGTATTTGAGAGAGGGGGGAAGAGAGCTCACACAAGTGAGTGGGGGGAGGGCCAGAGGGAGAGAGAATCCTGAAAGCAGACTTCCCGCTGAGCCCAGAGCCTGACCCCAAGATTCATCACCTGAGCCAAAATCAAGAGTTGGCCACTTAACCAACTGAGCCACCTAAGTGGCCGTTTTTGTTTTTGTTTTTAGTCAGAGGGGAACACAGTGTATCATATTTTTAGATATTTTTAGAATTTTTAAAAATGATCTACTTCTATATTCTAAAGAAATATATCCATAAGTAATTCTCACTGTATTTTTCTTATGGACTACTAATTACAAAGAAGAGAATAAAGATATTGATTTAAGAACCATGTGTGTAGCTGAATATGTGTGCATTTTTTTCATTCTCATCTTCAAATTTTTGTTTAGGATCAGCTGAAAAGTGGAATTCTTACAAGTAACAATATACCTGCAAATCACCAATATAGTAAGTAGGGGTAAAAGTTTTATTTCATGTAATAGGAAGCATAGGATTAAATACTCTGTCTTAATATACTTTTTCTGGTAAAGTTACTTTGACAAATAGAAAGAATTTTATATTTTAGTTTTATAATGCAGCATATTTGGCTTATAACAAATTGCTTAGGAATAGATTATGACACATACACCACTGGAGAATAAGAGAGAAGAGAGCAGGAGGACTGTAGTTTACTCCTAACAGCTAAACACCCTTGGCCTTCATGTTTCCTTCTTGTTATCTCCTTTGTTTTAGGAATTAGGTTTTCTTTTCTTTGTTTAATAACTAAATCTCTGAGATCTTGGTATCCACGTCAACCTTGCCACGTCACTATTACGGTGTTATGACAAAGCAACCACTCTAGAGATTTTTCCAAGTGGCTTTTCTAATTTTTGGCATCCTCACCTTTACTTATTTTTAAATAGACTGCTAACAAAGCAGACTATTTATTTATGCCATCTGTTTTCTTCATTTTAGTTTCATTCCAAAGAGGCTATTTTTTTTAATTGAGTATACCCCTTTATGTTTATCTTCAGCTTTCATGCCCATCTTCTTCCATATTCCATATTACTCTGGTTCACTGTTGTTTTCTTCATATTCTTTTTTTTTTTTTTCTTCTTCATATTCTTTTATAGCTGACTGCCATTATATAAGAGTTGGCACTTTCTCTTTATGTTCATACATCTCTTTAGTGATGATGTTTTCAGATGAAAGTGTTTATTTTCATTTGTGAAAGAACTAGTTCAGAAAAATCTACAACTTCATTTATAAGTGGTATCCTCCACTTATAAAAACCTCTAAGTTAAAATTTTTATACAATCTTATGCAATTGTAAATAATGTAAGATATCACAATTTATCTAATTTTAATGCTATTCACAGTGAAATTTATTATATTACTTTTCCCTGTCTGTCACCTTCCCTAATAACACCTTTTCATGCTAGTTCTTAACTTCAAGAATATTTTCTGTCTTGATTCTAAGATTATATATGTAAAGATCATTTTGAAAACTGTGAAGTAGTAAGCATTTTTTTCTTGGTAATAAGAATTTAATTTGTGATTCTGTTCCTAAGTTCTGCCAGTGATTAAATAAGACAGATTAATCAAATTTTGTTTCCTACCTTGTGTTAATATTTTTAATGAATAATAAAATCATTAAATGTAGTAAGGAAGAGAAGCCTAATTTTACACAGACTGAATCACTAAGAGTAGATTGTCTATTACTTTTGTACATTTTTACCTAGAGGCATAGGACTCCCAATTTCCTCCTTGGAGATTCCACTTTAACTTGCAATTGGTATTATGGAAATAAGTAGATGCTTGAATATTTTTTGGTAGTGATTTTTTACAGTTTTTGCACATTTTTGATTATTTTTCTATACTTTCAGAGTAACAGTGTTCTCATAATTATTTGCAGTTGTTCATATGTAAGGGCATATAAACATATCTTATGTCTTCCCATGTGATACAAGTTTTCCAGCCAATATCAGCTTCTGCAAAGCTCTACATGAATCCTTATGCGGAAACAGAGCTCAAAACACCCAAACTTGATTGGAACATAGAAGTACAGAATATTGCCATTGAATTGACCAAACCTCAGGTAAGATGCAGGTGGTAATTTCTAGCTTTGATTAGCTTTGAATCTCAGCTGCTTTTGTCCTTTGTGATTATTCCTTCTCCAGTGCTCTAGTGGTTCTTTTTATACTTCTATTTCTCTCTCTATATATGTATATGTATATATTTTTTAAGAAAATAAATACCAAATTTAAGAAATAATTTCCTTCATTTTATCTGGTCTTTTCCTTATTGGTGGAGAATCTTACCAAATTATAGCAAATGACATTATTTCCATTTAATTCCCAATTGATGGAAGATTTTAATGTGTTTTTTTCTTCCTCAGATTTTAATAAAGACTTTTATATTAAATATTATCTACTTAATTTTTAGACCAACTATGTTGGCAGCTTTTTTCCTTCACCATTTGTTTCTCATTTTGAGCCAAGAGTTTGGATAACAGACCTGGAGAACTGGAAGTAAAAGGAGGACAAGGGATTTAGCTAAATGAGCTTTTAGCTCAGTGCAGTCCAGTAAAAATATACAGGAGTTCCTCTTCTCGATGGTTTCCTTTTCCTTGGTTTTGGTTACATGGGTCAACTGTGGTCTGGAAGCAAATGATCTTCCTTCTGATGTATGGTCAGAAGGTCATTAGTGGCCTAACACTATGTCACAGTGCCTACATCATTCACCTCACTTCATTTCACTGTTAGGCATTTTATCACAAGAAGAAGGGTGAGTGCAGTACAATAGGATATTTTGAGAGAGAAACACACCACATTCACATAACTTTTATTACAGTATATTGTTAGAATAGTTCTATTTTATTACTAGTTGTTGTTAATCTCTTACTGTGCCTAGTTTATAAATTAAGCTTTATCATCAGTATATATGTATAGGAAAGACATATCATATGTAGGGTTCAGTACTATCCATGGTTTCAGGCATCCACTGGGGGTCTTAGAACATATTCCCTTGCGGATAAAGGGGCACTACTATAATGCCGGTTGTATATGTAATTTAAAATTTTCTAGTAGCTACATTAGCAAAGTAAAAAGAAAAGATGAAATTAATAAATAAAATAACATTTTATGTAAGCCAACGTTCCCAAAATATTATCATTTCAGTATGTAATCAGTGTAAAAAAGTGTTAAGATATTTTACCTCCTTTTCTTTTTCCTAAGTCTTTGAAACCTGGGGTATATTTTAAAATTAAAATACATTTAAGTTCAGACTACCCATATTTTAAGGGGTGAGTAGCCACATGGTAACCATTAGGTAGAAGTGCATTAAGAAAAACCAAAAGAAAGAAGTTAGATTTGCCCCTTTCTTTATCTTATCTACAGTCCTGTGTGTGTGTGTTTCCCTCAGTTTGAGCTATTTACCAGGTACATGCAGAGTTATACTGATGGTAAGATGGGCAATTAAATAGCTTTATCTTGCTTTAGTTATGTAATGATTTTCTGGAGGAGTTTGCAAATCAGCTCATAGATAGGCAACGTTGAAATGATGGTCCAGAGGAAACTATGTAGTTTTAGGAACAACCATGTTCCAGTCACTAGTTACAGATAGTGTATTTTGTTGTTTCTAAGATGTTCATTTATTGCACACTGTAACATATTTGAAAATAGGATGTATATTACTATTGATGGTATGACAGTTTATTTGGCAGCATTTTTTCTTTTTGTAGTAGAACTTAAAAATTATGTTACAACTTGTAATTGATGGCGTCTTAAATTTGATGAAATATAATATTAACAGGCAACCATGATATTCATTGTTCACGGAAGTTAGAGTTTTACTAGACTGAAAATATAATAAAATTTGGTGTTTATCCATGTGTGCAAATAATAAATATAACTGTATTTTTGTTTTAATAGTACTTAAGCATGATTGACCTTTTGGAATCAGTGGATTATATGGTTAGAAATGCCCCTTACAGGAAATATAAGCCTAATTTACCACTTCATACCAATGGTCGAAGATGGTAAGTTAGAATCTTTTTTTTTTAATGAGAAATAAATAGTTAGGAACTCTCAGATTTAGGAGACCTTTAAAGCCATGTAATGAAGCTGCTTTTTTTTTTTCTTTATAGACATGAGAGGGATATGTTTTGTATTAGGTCTTTGTTACTTTTTTATAAACACATTCTCTTGTGATCTTGCTTTTCCCCAAATTCTCAACTTAGCATTAAGACTTTAATCATTTTTTGGTCTTAGTACCCTTTAGTCACCACATGGGCTCAATGTTACAACCATATTGGGTTAGTATTGATTTTGCATAACATGTCATTTTGTGTCTTTTATTTTGCTTTGACATACCCTCTTAACTGGAGTAATTTGCTCATTTTGTAATCTGTTTAAGTCAGAGAATTGTACTGGGGAATTGAAATGCTAATTACTGGGCTCTTACAGGAGAACAGTTAATAAGAACAAGAAATGTAACAGTGTAGATCTAAAAAGTGAAAGCCATTTTCCTGCTGCTTCTTAAACCTTTGTATTCAAATGTGCATTAACAAAATTTGATTTGCAGGTGGAAATATGCAATTGATTCTGTTCTTGAAGTTCATATAAGAAGGTATACACAGATGTGGTCATGGAGTAACATAAAAAAACACAGGCAGTTGCTCAAGTGTTATAAAAGTGCCTACAAAAGCAAACTAACCCTGACTAAAGTCCCAGAAGAAATACAGAAACAAATTCAGGTATATCTCATATATATTGGTGAAAACTATTCTTTGCTAAGTCATCCTTTAAATTTTCCTAAATTTAATTTGAATTAAAATATAATTTTAGAAAGAATAGAACTGATCTCTTTTTGAGAGAATTTTATGGGAAAATACAGAGCATTTTTTTTTTTCAGTTTTTTCTTTAAACAAATCTTTCCCTCCCATCCTAATATCAGATAAAAGTAGAATACTAGTAACTATTTGGAGAAATGTGTCTGGTTTTTATAATAATATTTTGAAAATCAATATCAGAGCTATTCATATATATGTTTATTATTAGCTAGATATATTATTAGTTATTAGTTTTGTTAGTGGCTTTTTTTACGAGCTCAAAGTATTATATATAAAAAACAGCTCTTATTCCTCAAAATAGGAACCCCTTTTGAAATACAGAAAAATAACACACAATATATAAGTTGCTTAATGTCATCTGGTCTTGATTATATAATCATTTCTGCCACAAATTCATAACATAAAGAATTAATTGAATTCCTATTATTCTGAAATATATGAGAATCGCTAATATTATATATTAGAAAAAGCATCAAGTTTCTCAGCATCTCAGGTCTGATGTTCTCATGTATAAAATGGAAACAGTATCTGTTTTACAGAGTTGTGAGAATTGCATGAAATAGCAGATAGATTACCTCATACACAGGTCACCCAATACATGTTAAATTCTTATATATTTTTATATAAATTCCCCAAATCAGTTTCTACTTTAACTTAGTTGTTGATTTGTAGAATTTTGCATTTTTAAATTCTGTGTTTTATAATGGTGCCTTTAGTACAATGGTTATAAAATAGTATGAAAAAGAGTGAGTCAGTATGAACCATAAGGATAATACCTAAAACAAGCCCCCCTCCTAAATATTCTTGTTTCTATAATGGTGTCATTAAATTCTTATTTTTATATTGTATTTATTGAGGATTTGCTTTCTTAGAAAACTTATTTCCCTTATTGCAAAAACTAAAAGTATAAAAGCCAAGTGTACATTCAAATTTATACTTAATCCTTTCATTAGATCACAGTTACTGTTTGTTTATGGACTGGGTAAGCCTGGAAATTCTAGAATAAAATATTTTTTAATCTAATGCCATTTTTCTTGTTTACAAGTATCTCTTTGTTTTATAGGATTTGGAGAAGACTCTAGATGTTTTTAACATAATTTTAGCAAGGCAACAAGCAAAAGTTGAGGTAATCATTTTTATGAGCTGATTTTATGTTTTAAGCATGTTAATACTACTCCTTTAAACTTGAGATCAAAAAATCTTAAGCTTCATGGGAGTTGTTCAAGTAACAATAAAGGTTGATTTTCCATGCCTTCATTTAGTCTCAGGAGAAAAATTGGAACATCGGGGGAAAAAACCCACTAATATGGAAGGGAAAAATTTTTAAATTTTATAAAAAAATCTGAACCTCCCCCAAAAAAGAAAGTAAATAAAAGTTGTCTGTAATCGTAGCAACGTAGAATGCTGCACTTAACATTTTGACATACAGTCTTCCAGTTTTTCTCCCATGCATATGTACCAACTGATACTTGCTTTTTATCCCCCATCCTTTCACTTTATCTTTGCTTTGTTTCCTTTTCCTTCTCTTCCTTCCTCTTTCCCTCCTCCTCTCTCCCTCTCTCCCTCTCTCCCTTCTCTTCTTTTTTCCCATAATTGGAATCAGTTTATATTTCATAATTTATGCTGATTTATGCCACTTGGCATATCCTACCTTGTCCACATTGTTCCATGTCAATCCTATTATTCTGTAACATGACTTTTTTGGTAATTAAAAAAATCAATTACAAGTGCAGTACAACTCACGATAGAAAAGTTAGGAAATAGAGATACACAAAGAAAGAAAATAGAAACACCTATTATCTCACACTAAAGATACCTACTGTTAATACTTTTTTGTATATTCTTTTAGTCTTTTTTATATTCATAGATCTCCAGACACATGCTCATGTTTTTAAATGGGATTAAAGCACATACCTGTTCATTCATTTACTTAGTAAGTACTCATTGAGTGCCTATTTTACTAGCATCATGGTGAAGAGTGTGGGCTCTGGAATAAGCTTTGCCTACTTGTGTGATCTTGGGCTGGCTGTTTAACCTCTCTGTTCCTCAGTTTCCTCATTTGTATAATAGGATTGATTCATAGTACCAATATCATAGGGTTACTGTGAGGAGGGCATGATGATCCATGTAAGCCCTTAGACTATTGAGTACCTGGTACATAATAATTACTAAATAAGTGATTTACTTCATCATCATCATCATCATTTGCATTAGCAAACAAGTGAACAAACAGACAAAAATCCCTTATTTACATTCTAGTAGAAAGGATAAGAAAAACATAAATAAAAATAAAGTAGAAAGGAATATAGAGAAGGAATATGTCACTGGTTAGGCACTGATGATGGTGAGGATTGCAGTTTTAAATTGGGTGGTCAGGGAAAGCCTCACTAAGAAGGAAACATTTGAGCAAACACCTAAAGAAGGTGAGGGAGTCACCAGAAAACTATCTGAGGGAAAAATGTACCAGGCAGAAAGAATATAGCAAGTTGAAAGGTTTTGAGGTGGGGGCATATGTGGTTCATTCACAGAACTAACAGAGTGGTGAGAGAGAAGAGAGTGGTGGTTAATGAGGTCAGAGCAGTAACATAGTGGAGGAGTGGGAGGGGTGCTTGTGGGAGTTGGGGAGGATGCCAGATTGTAGGGTCTTATAAATAATTATGTGAATTTGGCTTTTACTCTGAATTTGGGGAGCCATTTTGAGAATGGAATGATATAATCCACTTAAGTTTTAAAATGCACTCTAGCTGCTCTTTTGAAAACAGACTCTAAGAGGGAGAACAAGGGTGAAAATAGGGAGATCAGTTAGGATGCTACTGAAATATTTGAGGTAGAGATAATGGTAGCTTGGCTGAGAGTAGTTGCAATGGAGGTGATGAGAAAGGGTCATATTCTGGATGTTTTTTGAACATGGAGCTAATATTTCCCAACTTATTAGATACGGGTTATAAGAGAGAGAAGTTGGAGATGACTTTAAAGATTTTGGCCTGTTGCAGTTGGAAAGATGCAATTTTCATGAAATGAGATGGGGAAGTCTGGATAGAACGAGCTTGGGTAAGATGGAGAGATCAGGAATCCAGTTTGGGACTTACTAAGTTTTAGCTATCTTTTAGACAATGATGTGGAGCTACGGAGTAGGCTGTTAGATACATGAATGTATGGTTTAGAAGAAAAATCCGTGCTAGATATATAAACTTGGGAGGGATCAGTACATTGATGGTATTTAAACCCATGACATTGAATGAGATCACCTAAGAAATTAGAGTAGCTAGAGAAGTGTTCCAAAGACCCAAAGTATTCTGTTAGAGGTCAGAGAGATGAGAACCAACAAAGGTGACCATGGAGGAGTTGCCAGAGGTGTAGTTAGGGAGCTCTGTGAATGTAATATCCTCAGTCAAGTGAAGAAAGAATTGCAAGCAAGAGGGAGTGATCAACTGTGACAGATACATGATTGGTCAACTGAGCTGGGGACTGGAAATTGGCTATTAGATTTACCAAAATATGGGGTGTTTCAGCCATTATTTTTTCAAATAATTTTTTTCTAAGTAGGCTCCATTTCCAGCATGGAGCCCAACACTGGTCTTGAACTCAGGACCCTGAGATCAAGACCTGAGCTGAAATCAAGAGCTGGACACTTAACTGACTGAACCACCCAGGCACCCCTCTTCAAATAATTTTTGATCAAATTTCTTTCTTTTTTCTTTTTTGGACTCTGATTTTGTACCCCCCACCACACACACGGTTGACCCTTGAACAATGTAGGGATTAGGGACCCCCTGCATAGTAAAAAATCTGCATATAACTTTAGACTCCCCCAAAACTTAACCACTAACAGCCTACTGTTGACCAGAAGCCATACTTATAAATAGTTGATTAAAACATATTTTTATGTTATATGTATTATATACCATATTCTTATAATAAAGCTAGTGAAAAAATGTTATTAAAATCATAAGGAAGAGAAAATACATTGACAGTACTGTACATATATTTATTGAAAAAAGTCCATGTGTAAGTGCACCTGTGTAATTCAAACCTGTGTTCAAATAATTTCTGGTCTAGATTTCTTTCTTCTTTCCTTCCTGGACTCCAATTTCATACACATACACACAAATGTGTACGTCTATACATATATATGTACATATATACTTAAACGTGAGACCTTTTGATATACCACAAGTTCCTGAGGCTTTGTTTCATTTTCTTCATCAGTCTTTTTACTCTCTGTTCTTTAAATTGGATAATTTCTGTTGATATGCCTTCAAGTTTATACTTTTCTCTTCCATCTCCATTTTATTTTTGAGCCCATCCTAGTTTTTATTTCAGATAATGTTTTTCAGGTCAAAAACTCCTATCGAGTTCCTTTTTATAGTTTCTGTTTCTCTGCTGAAAATTCTAATCTTTTTAATAATTTCAAGTGTATTTCCCTTTCTATCATGTAACAAAGATAACATTGGTTTTCTGCTGGTTTCACCATATAGTAATCTGACTATTGACATCTGTTAATTGATTAATTGTCTTTTCCCTTAAAAATGGGCCACATACCCTTTTTTTTTTTTTTACTGCATGTCAAGTAAACTTGGATTATATCCTAGGCATTGTGAATATTATGTAGTCTCTGGGTTCTTCTTATCTTCTGGAAAATGTTGCTATTTTGTCTTAGCACACAACCTAGTGAGGCTCTGATCTTTAGTTATGTTTTGCATTCTGTGGATCATGGTTCAAATCTCAATTCCATGTTTTCTGCCTTTGGTATGTTGGTTTAGGTCCATTTTGCACATGAGTAGTACAGGAGTTTGTTGAAGACTTGTGCAGGTGGGTTCATATCTCGGTTCAGGTCTCTAAACCTTTGCTACTTTCATTTAGGTTACTCTTATACATGGGAAGCTTGTGTTAGACTGAAATTCATGCAGGTTCATACACAGAATTAAGAGATAACCCATTCTCTGACTCTTCTCCCTCTAGCATTTCCTTCGTCCCCTCTGGTTTTCACAGACTCCATTTTTCTCATTCCTTGGCCAGACTGGAGTTTCTTTCAGGGGTTCAGCTGCTTGTGCCTCTGCAATGCTCCATGACTGAGGCCTGCCTCAGGGTACAGCCATGTGAAGTAGATTTCTCTAGCTGCATGATAAACTCAGTGGCTTAAAGCAATACACATTTATTATCTCAGAGTTTCTGTGGGTCAGTAGTCCAGGTATGGCTTACCTGAGTTCTCTGCTTAAGGTCTCAAAATATTGCCATCAAGATGTTGACTGGGACTGTGGTTTCATCTGGAGTGTCACTGATGAAGGATCTACTGTTGTTGGCAGATTTTAGCTCCTTGTGCCTGTGGGATGGAGAACTTCAGTTTCTTGCTGGCTGTTGGCCAGAGGCTGTGCTTAGCTCTTAAATTTCATTTCATTTCCTTGCCAGATGGGCCTCCAGACATAGACAGCCCACAACATGGCAGTTTGTTTTTTCAAAGGGAGAGAGAGACTGCAGCAAGACAGCTGTTACAGTTTTCATGCACATAATCACATATATCTCGTCACCTTTGCCATATTCTGTTGGTTAGAAACAGGCCATAGGTCATGTCCACGCTAAAAGGGAGGAGACTGCTCAAGGGCAAGAATAGGAGGGAAAAGTTATGGGGTATAGGAGGGTAGGGAGAACATGTGTGTGGGGGGGAAACCATGGGAAACTCACTCTGGTGAAGGTCACTTCTCCAAGTTTTGACTCCTTTCCTGCATTTGCCTACTTTGCTTTTCAGAGTCTGTTGTAGATGGTTTTTTTTTTTTTTAAAGATTTTATCTATTTATTTGTCAGAGAGAGAGAGAGAGCACAAGTAGGGGGAGCAGCAGGCTGAGGGAGAAGCAGACTCCCCGCCGAGCAAGGAACCTGACGAGGGACTCGGTCCTAGGACCGTGGGATCATGACCTGAGCCGAAGGCAGACGCTTAACCAACTGAGCCACCCAGGCACCCCTGTTGTAGATGATTTTTATATTTTCAGAATTTTTAGTCATCAGCATAAAGGATGGGCTGTAGAGGGCTTATGTCACCATGGAACTGAAAGTTCGTTGTTGGATTTAGCAATCAGGAAATCATTTTAAAAAGCAATGTTTTTTCTTTTTTTTTTTTTTAAGATTATT